GTGACAAATGAATCTTTAAAGTAGTTTGAGTTCTCCAGTGTCCTGATGTTTTTAGCTGACTGTCTTTGGTATGAGCTGACTGTCTTTGGCTACATTTGGAAATACTGAGCATTAATGCATTTGAGCCTCATATTCTCAAAAAGCCAGGACCATACCGTTAGTAACCACATGTGGAATAACTGCATACTTGAAGACTTGTGATGGGGCTTAACAACCTACTTTAGATGACCATGACTGAGAAAGGAGCATGGACAAGATAATCTCCAGAGTTCCTTGCCAGCAACAACTGTTTGATGATCCCATGATTCTTTGCAGTAAGGCTCTCTCTTTTGTTCCTCATATCCTCACCTCATCCAGTAATACAGCATGATCAAGCTGCCTTCTACAGTGTGAAGCAAAATGCCAAACTTTTTACACAGAGATCTGCCATTCATTTTCTCACATCCTTTTTCAGGAAAATCTGAACTTTCCCTAAACTTTTATGCCTGAGTTAGATGTCTCCTATGCAAAATGGATAACTTTTGACAAAGGCAGAAGTAAACATTACCAGGCTTTTTTGAGAAAAAGAATGAAATTGCCTTAATAGTAGGAGGCATTCTCAGCACTCTCTATGTAACAAGGATGTTTAAGGGAAACCACATGAAAACAAGGTTTCTGTATATAGAGGGACTTTTAACAGAGAAAAAGCATAATGAAAACAAGCTAGATATAAGATGCATATTGTAGTAAAAGTAAATTTTTAAAGAGTTGCTTGCATTTGTCTACATTTTCAAATCAAGTTTTGATGTTTTAAATACATATGTACTAAGGTGACTGTAAGTTTTCTTGATATAGATTTCATGGAATCTATGACTTGAGCTATGCAGAAAGTCAAATTCAGTTCTTAAGATGCTCTTGCCTGGCTTTAAATTCTTTGTGTATGAAGTTAGCTCTGAAGAAAATTTTCAATGACTTAAGCCCACAATTAATATCACTTTAAGGAAATCTGGATTTGACTATCTGAAGACATATGAGAGATAAGAGCTTAAACATTCTCTCTTTGTTCTCTCATTAGTAGAGAACAAAGTGTAGAAACACTAATCAATCAAATAAACACTTTTAATCCTATTGGGGAACATAGTCCTAATCTCATCATGAGAGAAGCAGACCTTGTTTCCTAAGTTAGAAAGGGTAACTATCTGATCTTCATGTTTTTAGATCAGTCTATTTAATAGAGTCTTTATATATATAAATGAAAGGAAAAGAGATGTTTGTTTTTCATACTGTAGAGAAGAAATGCAAAGAATATTTTCAGTTATCATTTTTGTCACATACCTGCAAGTGACTAAGGGACTAACTACTCATAAAAATTTCAAGAACTTAATCTAATTTTATAATTTTATGATCCTACCTTGTGTCCCAGATATTCTTATTATTGCTCTTTCTGCTATCTCACCAGGCACTTCTGCAGTACACTTACATCTCATTTTTTGTTTAAGTCCTAGATATGCTGTTGTCTAGTGTTATCCACTGAAGTATTTCCTCTCAGCTATGCTATATGGTCATAGATCTTGGTACAAAATGCGTTTGTTGTCTGTCTTAGGCGCTTCCCACTGACTAATCATTTTTGTATCTCATTGTAATCACTTCAGAACAGAACTTGTTTCTCTTATATGTATGCACAATTTTTCTGATTATGAGCTTAATGCTTTACTAGATATAAACAATTAAAGATATAGAAACATAGCTAGCCATGCAGAAATTAGGATTCTGCTAAGCAACACAGGCAAGTAGATCTATGTGGTTCTAGAAAGATCAAGACCAGCATTTGTCAAGATAGTCAGCCAAGATGGCTAAGACGGTCATCTTGCCTACTTACCTGACCATTTCAATAAAATTTCTACACTCCTACAGAACACTGACGCTGTGCACAATGCACAAATGCAAAAGGGAAAAAGCATTTCTTAGAAAACCTCGAACAGCTGTGTAGTAGTCATTTTTGTTCTGTATTTATTTCTAAATCTTTTTCATTCATATCTTTAATTTCAAAATAAATTTTAAAAGATATTACAGCTCAAGAAATTTAAACTGAAATTTAAAAGTTAGAAGTTAGGAGAACCTTCTTCTCTTCTGCTGAATCTAAGCATTCAGGAAGAATAAACCTAAAATTTCAGTATATTAGGACAAATATATTAATTTAGTATAAAAATTACTGAATCCAGCAAAGATCTTTCAGAAAGCTCTTTTAATTTCTGACTTCCACTCATCATTGGTTCTTTCTCATTGTCCTGTCTTTGTTAGACTGATTTTTTTTTTTTTTTTTTTTTTTTTTTTTGTCCTCAACTGCTAGTTCGAGTTTTCTTCACTCAGTATTTTTTCCACATTATTATTGTATTGAATTTATTTTAACACCGTTATTCATTTATATTTGAAGTTACAGAACTTCAATGTAGCCCTCTCTTCTATGCTTTTGTTTCAATTTTATGTAACATTCATCTGCATTGTCCATACGTTACTTTATCTTCATTGCTCAATAGCCTGTTTCCCCCTGAGAATGTATTAACCAATCTGACAAGTATTTCCTTCTGACATTAAGCATCCTGATGTTTTTTCCTCTTTTCAATCTCAATTTATTTCTAATTATAAACCTTAATTAGATCATGGTTTCTTCTGCTTAGGTACTTTTTCATTTACTGCAGCTCTAATTGCTTTCTGTTTTACTTAAAGGGAATGATTTTTTTTTTTTCTCTTTTAGCTCTTCTAGAAATTAATACCTCACAAAATACATAATGCTGTCAAAAGAGAGGATAATAAATCATTAGTTTGCCAGTTGGATTCTTGGATTTAGTCTCAAAATATGTGATATTGAAACATAATTATCTCAAGAATAACTCAATCATCATTCATTCTCCATATGCCTTGCCAGCTCTAACAAGGATTAGAGTATTTGGAGATTGTTCTTGCCATGCTAATCAGAGATGTGTGTTGTGGTTTTTATGCTTATTATTTGTTATGCACTGTCAGTGTTAAAATATATGTAATGCGTGAGATTAGAGTGGTTAGGGACTGATGAGATGTGGGTATGTATTGGATATACATCTAATGTGAAGGTGTTGGCAGTGATAAGGATGCTAGGACTTCTCTTTCAGGAGAGACTGGGACTGCCCTTTACCAAACAAAGCCAGTTCCAGCCAGTGCCAATGGCCTCACTAGTGGCACTAGCAGATAAGATGGGGGCAACTTGGGAAAAAGTATTTACAAAAAGAAAAAATCTAAGATGGCAGTGAGGAATGAGGAAAAAAAATATGAAAAAAATGGCCCCATGAATAGCAAGGACAGAAGAGAAGGGGGAGAGGTGCTCCAGACACCAGAGCAGAGGTTTTCTTGCAGCTCTCAAGGAAACAACAATGGAGTAGGTGTCACACTGCAGCCCATGAAAATGTTCTTTTCCTTAGAGTAGTAGTTAAAAATTTAGAAAATAAAAAATTAAGAAAAAAAAAATCTGAAGTTATAAAGGATTTATTCTTTTACCTGGCCCATGGAAATTACTTAGAAGGATACTGCCAGTCATTAACAGATATCTCATTTAATTATTTTAAGTAGTTATGTGTCAAATAAAATACACTGAAAACCTACTAGGATAGGCTTTTAAAAAATCTCACCTCAGAATGCTATTATAAAAAAAAAAAGTGCCATTTTAAATGTAAGAAAATACAGAAGAGACTATTTTCTACTGATAGAAATTTTTTACATGTCAGAAATCAGTATAGCTGCTGTTTCAAATAAGACAGTGTTCTAACATATAAAATATTCACCAGTCCCAGCACTACAGAAGTATTCAAACTAAGAGGAAATCTTGTCTTCGTATACCTTGACCTCATTCACTCAAAAACTCCCATTTTTAAATATGGCGATGATGACTTTGTAACACGACCTGAGAACCTCACACTGTGATCTGCATCTGCGTGCTTCTCTTGAGTTGACTGACAGAGCTTTGTTCAGCCTCTGCTATCACTGTCTGCCACTGGAGCAGTGGCTGCCATCTGGCAGCTGAGTTTTCCTTTGGACAGACAGTTGGAAAGATTTTTCTTAGGATAATAACTGATCTATAAGAAAACAAATCTGATATTTTATCACTGAATTTACACTGACAAGGGTCATTCAAAAAATTAAAACAGTCTCATCTGAAGTATTTCTGTAAAACAGATAAAATAATAGCTTTTAATCCCTTCTAATTAGTACTTTCTTAATGCAAGATATAGGAGGCTTTAGTTTCAATTTTTTTTAATTCCTACTTCAACATTTGCTTTTGTGGGTTTAGTTAGAAAAATTAAATATAGCACAGAGCTCAATTTGTTGAAATATTCAGATGTTTATGATGCATTTGTAGAAGAAAATTAGAGCCCATATAATAAGCATGAAATCTGCCCATACCAGCTTATTTTCAGATAACAGAAAGTCCTGAACAGGCATCCTGATGATCTCTACAAGATGGGATTGGATGGATGGATCAATATATTCTGAGGTTGAACATTTAGTAAGACTGGTGTTGGATTATACATTTACTTTTAGGACAGGAACTAAAATCTTACGAGGAGCTGCTGAGGGAGCTGGGACTGTTTAGTCTAGAGAAGAGGAGGCTCAGGGGAGACCTTATTGTACTTTGTAGCTTCCTGAACAGAAGTTGTGATGAGGAGGGGTTAGCCTCTTCTTCCAGATAACAAATAGGGCCTGAGGAAATGGCCAAATGTTGTGACAGGGGAGATATAGATTAGATATAAGGAATAACTTTTTTTTTTATATAAGGATATAATTTTTTTTCTCTTAGAGAATGGTCAGGCACTGGAATGGCCTGCTGTATGGGAACTGCTGAATCATGGCCTGAACCTCTGATTGATCATCTGAGGCGAGCAATGAGTCAGACCTGGGAGCACAGGTGAAGGCAATTCTCCTGTGCTGCTGGAAGGGGTGGAGCCTGGCTGCACCTCTCCTACTCCCATTTAAGAGCTGATTACGATGGGAAAGGATCTCTTCTGGGGACCCCTCCTCTGGAGTTTTGCAGGTAGCCCAGGATGCAGGTAAGCATTCTATCTATTCTCTTTTTGTTATTATAATCTGCTTTGCGCAACTCTCTTGTTTATTTCATAATTATATTCTTTTAATTTTCTTTCACATAAGTAGTGCATCATTAAAGCTGGGTTGTTGTTTTTTTTTTTTTTTTTTTTTTTTTTTGTGTGTTAATGGAAATCTTATTTCAGGATTAATCAATAATGGAACTTCTATATTCTTGTGGAGTAAAAAGGACATTTTTCTAAAACCTGCAGCTGCTTTGTTTGCCTTTAAGATTTTCTCCCTTCTTCGTATGTAGACTTGAAAACAATTGTATAGAAGAATTATCCCAATGCTTTCACGTCTCAGTATTTTAGTATAGGTATAGCACTATCAATTGACAGGATACAATTGTTATATTATGCTAAGTGTTTAATATATACTTCCAAGTTACCTTAGTACTGCTATAATGACTCCTCCCACCTAAAATCTCTCAAAGGGGATTAAATGACTGTATTTATGTTGAAATAATAGGTAGGAGATGAGTTGCTGTAGAACCAAAAAATAAAAGTTTCAAAATGAAAACCGAAGTGCTGATACTTGTGATTGGAGCGCTACTTTTTTGGCTATTGTAATACTGACTGTAGAACTGAAAATGGATATGTGCGAAAAAAATGCATATACATCCATCATTGTAGTTTTGATTCTGTAGAATAAATGGAATCATTTCTTTTTATTTTAAATCATCTTCTTTCCATTCTTTATTATTTTATCTTGCAGAGATGGATGTATTTTATAAGCAAGGATGGCTTCGCTTAATTCCACTTCATATCATTATACTTAAGTAACTTCGTAATGGTGGTAAATTAGCTCAGATTAAGAGAGGCAGTGTAAATGAGATTGGAATTAGTTCTGCTCTTATGGTAGCCATATAAAGTAATTCTGTATTTGCACAGGGAAGTCTTGATATAGAAGCAACAGAATGTCTTCTCACACCCAAATGTATTTACAACATTAACACCTACATAATTCTATAATCTTTGTAAGGCAGAATTTGTCCTCTGCTAAATTCATGTGGTTCCCTCTTTGTCAGATAAAATATTCTATTCTGTACCAGCTGAAAATCTGAAATGTTATTTATTGTTAGAAGGGAAATGAGGAGAGGGGAATTGTAGAAAATACGTGATGCTTTTTGAATTAAAACCTTGACTTTCACTGATTCCCAGTTCCATTTTTTTTTCTTTTTTTCTCCTTGCCAGTGAGTCTTAACCTGCAAATGTTTGTAATAGTTACAGTGTATTTCATATGTGACCTTTAAAGGTTACCAGTAACTTCAAGTCCTTTTTGGCAGGGCTGTGCTCAGTGTTTTCTTCCCCTAGTTTGTGCGGGTAGAAGGGAGTTGCAGGTAGATTCAAACTGGATGATGTTTGAGATCCATTCCAACCCAAGCGAATTCTGTGATTCTTTGATTCTAATGGGTTGCTGTGACCCTTGCGTTTGGATTTTTGAACCTCATGAGGTTCCACTGTGCACCCTGCACAAGCCTATCCAGGTCTCTCTTGATGGCATCCCATCCCTGAGGTGTGCTGACCATAACATGTCATGTGTCATCTACAAACTTGCGGATGCTGCATTTGATCTCACTGTCAGTGTCTTTGATTAAAGATATAACAGAGCACCAGCCCCAGTACTGATGCCTGAGGGACACCACTCATCACTGATCTCCAACCAGACTGTGAACCATTGGCCGTTACTCTCTGGGTATGATCTTGCAACTAGTTCCCCGTTTATCAAACTGCCCACCTATCAAATCCATATCTTTCTAAGTTAGAGAGAAGAATGTTATGGGTAACTGTCTCAAAGGCTTTACTGAAGACTTGGTAGATAACATCAGTGGCTCTTCACACAGTTGCACCATCATGGAAAGTCACTATGTTGGTCAGGCAGGACTTGCCCTTGATGAAGCCACGCTGGTTTATTTCACACCACCTTCATCTCTGACCATAGCTTCCAGGAGAATCCGTTCCTTGATGTTTCCTGAAACAGAGGTAAGGCTGAAAGATCGGTATTTCCCTGGGTCATCCTTTCTGCCTTTCTTTAAAATGGTGTGATATTGCCTTTTTTCCAGTTGCCAGGGACTTCACCTGGCTGCCGTAACTTTTCAGATATCATCAAGTGTGTCTTGGTGACTACATCACCCAATTCTTCTGGACTCTAGGATGCATCCAGTTCCTCAGATGGTTGTGAACCTGATCTTCAGTAACAGCAGGAGGGACGTTGCTCCTACAGTACCCAACTTACAATCCATCCACTGAAGGAGTGTGTGCAGAATAGTCACCACAGAGAACTGAGACAGAAAAGCTGTTGAGCACCTCAGCCTTCTCCTTGTCTGCTGTTATCAGCCTGCCTCTATTGCTCACTAGGGGTTGGCACGCCTCAGAATTCCTTTTTCTAAATTATGTACCTGTAGAAGATTTTTTTAAATTCTTCTCCCCTCTTGGCAATTCCAGTTCTAGTTAGGTCTTGGCCTTCCTGACCCTGTCTCTACACACCCTACCAGCATCCTTATACTCCTCTAAGGGTACCTGTTCCTGGTTCCACTAAATTATTTCTTATATATGCATATAACTACTTAAAAATGAACAAAGCCTGTACTCAGGCTTCCCTCTTCTCTTCCCCATTGTGTAAGACATTGCTACAATGGATCTGTCTGACATTTTTAATCTTCCATGTAGACTAATTGTGTATGTACTAGATGGGCATGTTAGTTATGTGTATTTTGACACTTTTTAGAATTAGGATGTAATGCAGCAGTTGTATAGTGCACTAAGCTATGTTCTTAAGGAGAATGAAGCTTTAAAAAAAAAAAAAAAAAAGAAAAAGAAAAGAAAAGAAAGGAAAAAGCAACAACAACAAAAAAGTAAAAATCCTCTTTTCATAAGTTAAATCAGACTCCTTAACAGAAAAGTCAAGTGGAGTAATCTTATCTGAGGTGCTGGGGAATTTCATAACCAATCCTTCTAGTTACCTTAGCTAGGATAAAACTTTCATGGTTTTATTACTCTAGGTAAAATATATACATAGCTTACATGGAAGCATTTTGTTGTGTTGAAAAATTCTTATGTTTTGTTAAAACGTGCAATTCTGCATAAAAATAAATCATAATAGAAAATTAAAATAGCTGGCTTTTCTTTGTTACTTCTGGTCTTTTGCTTACAAGGATGCTGAGAAGAAAGATTTGTGCTATTAATACCACCAGCAGAACACAACATCTTTTAGCTCAAGTGGGCAGCAATTTCTTCACTTGTATCTCAGGATCAAAGTATGATCAACAAATACTTTTTTGAATTCTGAGATTGCCTTTGTGGCAAACAGACAAATGTGAGTCTCGTTCTTGTCTTCCAGTATTATACCTCTGCAAGTCTTTTGACATTAGTAGTTACAAAGTGGAGTTAAGGAAGCATAATAGACAATTTTCCACATTGAAAGAAAAGAATTGGCCAGCACCAAACCCATTTTAGTATTCTGCTTGTGTAAGTAGAATTTTGCTCATACCTTTTTAAAACGCCACTTTTAAAGATATTTGCCATATTTTTTGTTCTTTGTATCTTGCCACTTTCAAATCCTTTACTTACACAATATATTTCTCCTTAAATGCCTAAAGCCAGGCACTGATGGTATCTTTAAAAAGAATTTCTGAATGAGAACAGAGCACTTGGTTGAATCATTTTTTTTTCTAATTTATATAGTCAAGAAATCAAGGGACTCCCACAGGGAGTCAGGAAATGGTACAAACAAATAACACAATAGTAACCCCTTTAGTAAAAGCTCAAGTTTGAATTGAATATTATTAGCATCACGTAGATAAATACTGAATGTTTTTTATATCCATTGAGCCTACAATCTCTAGTCACTGTAGTACAGTACTTGCATTTTCAAAAATACGTGAAAGTGTTGGTTATCAATTGAGATGACAGCACTGTAGGCAGATGGGGAAAGAAGTGAAGGAACAGGGAATGCCTTTTGTTTTTGTTTATTTTATATATTATACTGAGGAGAAAAAGACCATTTGTAAACACAAATTCAAAGGAGCATAGGCCAGAGGAAGACAATTGCATTAGGTCAATTGTTATTCTAAAATAAACTGTAAAAAACAAAATCCTTTTTCTAATTCCCAGTGAAATTGTCTAAATATTATTATGGGTATAGGAGATTGTCCAGTTGCTGCATAACCAGAAACTTTTCTATGAAAGTTCTGATGATATAGGATAGATTTTTTTTTCGCAAATAAATACAACTTCTCTCAGCAGATTAATTAGAAGAAATTGGCAGCTGAAACAGAGCAGAATGTAGAGAAATGTGATTACTTTCTTTTTCACATTAATTTTTCTCCTCTTTTCTTCCTGTCTAATTTCACTTACTGCCATAGAGATTTTCCTGTTTCTTCTGGCAACAGGATCTCAAATGACACTTTCATGTTAGATGGCACAGTTAGTGAATTCCCTGAGAACAGTAAGTTTAACAAGGAAGAAATTGTGCTTGTATTCCAATCTTCATCTGCCTATCTGAAACTCAGCTTTTTATTGATACAGTTTTTTCAAAAGTGACAAACATTAAAAAAACAGATTGCAGTATTCAGCAAATATTAAACTACAAGGAAATAAAGAAGGTAATGAATTTTAAGTATGTAAATATGTATAACACACAATTAAATGGATATAGAAATATTTGCAGAGAAAATTATCTTTGAGAGGCACTGCTGGGAAATTGTATGAATATGTAGAAACAGATGATATTCATATTACCTTTCGAAATTCACAGAAGAAATTTTATGAAAAAATGTAGTGAAGAATCAGCTTCTTCGTTATTTATCAGAAGCAAATTGAAGCATATTGTTTCAGCCATCAGAGGGGTTAGTAGAAGCTGATAGCATCACAGTTATCATTTTCTAATACAGAAGAGCTTGATTTAGTCTTTTCAGACTGATAAGCTGATTTCACAGACTAGAACTTAACTAATGTGAATACATCTATTGACAAAATGATCTCCATATCCTCAAACTCTACTGGGTAGCATGATTTCTTTCTGTGTTTTTTCCTTGTAAACTGAAGTATGGACATAAAAAGTGAACAATATTTCTGTATTACTAATATTATCTGTGCTTTGGTGCTCAAATCCAATTGCCATGACAGTTAAAATTAGCAGGACAAGGTCAAACTGTCAAGGATGAGGCTGGCTGCAAGCAGAGGGGCTTTTGTGGCTTTGTTTGCTTGTCATTTCAGCTGCTATGTCAGCTTAAATACCATCAGTAAAAAAAACACAGAGCATAGCTTAAGGAGTAGTGGGGTGGGGGTCATATCTGAGCAGTGATCAAACAAGGATAAAATCCAGAGAGGCCACACTCCCTGGACGCTCTGTCTTGAGTGTCTTTCACAGAATGTCAGTGCAGGCTGATTAAACAAATGCTGCTGCCAAGGCAAAGCTGATCAACCTACACTGCATAGGAAAAGTTCACATGCAATGGGCTATCATTCTGAAATACTTTGGGGAAGTGAAAAATGTTACAGTGTTGTGATAAAATGGAGTATTGCACAAAGTCTGAACATTTGCTTTTCCTAGCATACCACTGTTTTACATTCTTCTTGATTTGCATTCTGCTGACGTGATTTAAAAGCCTTTCAAAATGGCTCTTTGCCCAGACACAGCTTGAAAGTCCAAGCTCTCTTACAAAAGCAGGTGAAATTAGTTTTGCCATACATACAATTCCATTCATAAATCTTTACTCAGTGTAGCGTAGTCATTTTTTCCCATTAATAATTGCCTTTTCCTAAGTTAGGTGATATTCATTTACTGAAGTTTTTCTCCCATTCTCTCTTTCTCTCTCTAATCCGTATTGATATATATCTATTGATAAAAAGAATATTTTCCAGAGAGGAATCATTCCCTTCCTGTACAGTATCATATAGTATGGTATGGTATAGTATATTGTATAGCACAATACAACTGTAAAGGAAAATGATCAACATATACATAATTTTTAACATCTTGAACGATTTTGGAAAAAAACAGGCATTTCCTTTGTACTATTAGAATCATCAAGACATGGAGAAAGGTAAGAAAAAATGCGTAGTTCTAATACCTATTTAAAATATTTTCAAATAGTTTATTTTAAAATGAGAAAAGTTTCTTATTAACTGGAAGAATAATGTTCTGTCTGGATAAAGGGAAGCTTCTTGGGTACTGTCAGATATTATAGATCTTAAGTTCACACTCCTTAATCAAGTGACTGTCCTGTAAGTCATTGATTAAGGACTGAAGAAATTGGCTCAGGTCCCTTGATCTCAACTATGACAAGGCAAGAAAGCCCCACTTTTATCTGAAGAAAAAGGAGAGACAGGAATAGTAACCAGGCATGAGGGGGGAAGGGAATAGCCATTCAAATAGGTACAGCACTTGAGAGAGAGGCAAAGCAAGATATCTGCCAGGGAAAGGAAATAAAGGTTAATGACTTGGATAAGCCAGGAAAAGAAACAGAGGGGTATAAATTAAATTATTAATTAATTATGCTGCAGAGCAATTAGATACCAGGAAAGCATAGCACAGAAGAAAGGAGACTATAAAAAGTCACTACAAAAAGTAGACTATCCCTCTAACAATAGCCACAAACAGACATAGGTGAAAAACAAAAGCAAAACAAAACAAAATATAGCAATGAAAGTTAGATTAAATTCTTTCTTCTCTGCTAATGACACAGTTACAGTGCTAGGGAGCCATCCTGGACCAATGAATGTTTGTAGAGCCCTAGTAGGATATGTAAAATTAGGCCCCTTATCCCTTGCTTCTGAGGAGCTGATTTCTTGTAATCCTTCCTCCCTCTAAGCAGTCAAATGAAAATGCGATCAGAATGAAACTCATCTGCTGAAGAGCTGAAGCAAGCTCAAGAAAGGATCAAATATCTCAGTTAGAGATGAAACATAACCAAAGAGAAATCTGAATATATCACAGCTGGAGAAGGAGAGCTGAGAGGGTCTATAACAATTACTTCAGTGAACTGTCAATTTAATTCACCTGCATTCTCTGTGCATGCCCAGTGTATCTCTGCCACAGGATCATGCTGGGTATGCTCTCCTCTCATGTTTGGTACTAAATGCCAGGGTACCTGCTTCTGAAGAAAGTGCATTTTTTGTTTTGTGGATTTTAGACTAAAATATTTATGCTTTTATTTCCTGGTACCTAAGTTATGCCTGTTAACTCCTTCAGGTTTAAGACATTTCAAAGAAAATTTCTGTGTTTGAGGGGAATGCATTAATCACAGGATGATTGTATGAAACAAATAAGTGATGTCACAGCTGTAGTTTTGAGCAAAGTTCAAGTAAGGTTAGCTGGTTAGTGTGCTAAACATAATCAAATCAGTACCTTTAGGTGTTCTGTTCGAAAAGCATCATGCTTATATGTAAAGGTAAGAAAACAGGGGTATAACCCTTGCCTGTTCCTACAGAAAGTGCTAGTGAAAGTATGTGTCTATAGCAGCCTTTCTCAGCTGTTGGGTCTTCTAGCAAGCGTTCTATTTTTAAAAGATAAATGTTAGAGGATAAAAAAAAAAGACACTTCAACACACACACGCAAAACATGCATTGATGTAGTACAAAAAATATTTAATTGGTGTTCTTTTTATCAGTGACAATTTTGTCTTTTTGCTTTGTTCGTTTGTATAAAAAGAAAACACAGAACCAACTGTATATTGCTCTTTCTGAATCTGAAGCTGTAGTACCCCTTTCCCACGTGGCAGGTCAACAGGACTGCATTGGCTTGTTTCACGTGTCAGGGTCCCATTAACGTAATGTAATAGTTGGCACAGATTTCTGAGCAAGTTTTGTCTATGAAGTCAA